CTTCCATCAACAAATGCTTAAATAAACCTCATCCATCAGATCTGCATCAGGCCTCCAAGTACCATTGCTGGCACATTCTGCTAAAGCCAAGCTGTGCATGCAGGTGCTTCATGTTTGAACTAGAAGTTTTTAAAACTACCACACATATGAATGCAGCATACATAAGTTCTGTGACGAGTCTGATTTGAAAAACTAAGAATTTTCTGGCTTCAAAGGACTATGGTTTTTAATTGGTTTTCTGAACTTAAAACATTACCATAGCAGTTTATTTATTTATTTTTTTTGCACTTCTTCCATTTTTCTTTCATCTGCTATATCTTTCCTTCATACAAATGTTATATATATTCTTCATCATTATGCAGTTATAATATTGAGGCAAAGCATTACAAAATGTTAAATGCAATTAATAGTCAGATAAATGCCATTTTCTTATGCAATAAAAACTGAACAACTGTATATGATTTGCATCTGCAGTCAAAAAGGCTCTTTGAAAGTACAGTAGGAAGTGTCTCCTGCAGAGACCAGGAGATGGACCCCTGCAGTGAGACCTTCCTGAGCAGGCCGCGAGACACATGGTGAACAGAGCACTACACCACAATTCAATCAGAAAGTGGACAGGTGTGTAAAAGACATACCAGCTAGTGTGCATGTTCTAAAAATCTGTCAAGTGGACTTTATTAAATTCATCTACACTACCACAACGGTGGACTTACAAACATCTAGTCAAAATGATCTTGAAATGTACTTCAGTTTCTGTTTTAAAGAAGCTACTCTTTTATCTAAACCTTTTTAGCGGGAAACCAGCTGTGTCATTTCAAGATCTTTCTTTAACCCCACCCACACCAGTCTTGTAAATTCAAGAAAAAGTTAAATGATTGGGCAAGAACTTGTGCTGCCAAATGTGCTTATGTAACAGCAGTATAACAATTGTTGGTCTCATTAGGAGAAAATAAATTTCCCTGAGTGTGACAGTAATGTTGAAATACTTGGATGTGCTCTGATATTCTCTCCCACTGACTTGTTGCTGGTTGTCTCACCATTTACAGCTTTAATATGTCCGTGCACGCATGAACGTGGGTGTTAAAAAGAAATCACTTCCATTCCTCGCACAAAGGCCCAAAGGGAGCATTTATTCTTCATACAGACCTACGCAATTCTTTTTCAAAAAAGAGCAGAAAACGAAAGTGAAGAAGTTATACTGTTGACTAGGGTGGCATCCTGTGTGAGGCAGCTGCACATAGATGAGATGTCAAGACGGCACCACTTTGATCTGAAAGCTGCTGGTGTTAAACTTCAACCCAAGCTGAGAGAACCCAACTTAAACACTGACTTTCGCTTACATTCCCAAACACATACTTGTAGGCAGCTTTTGTTGATTGTGAGAGAAGTCAATACGTCCCTTCAGCTGTCAGCTGCTTTTAACTTCTTGAAATCTTTTTCTGTCTGTCTGGTCTCCATGGCTTCATTCACTAAAATTGTTTCAGACCCGAGACAAAGGCACATATTTAAAACATTACATTTAAAACACAGTTGTATATATAATTTATGATAAATATTCTGCAAGTATAGATCTTAATGTCATTCAAGCACATAAGAATATAACTGAAAAGTTATCTACTTTGCACTTCAATTAAAAAAAATTTTTATGATTTAAAACACAATGTTATATAATTCAGTTTTTTATTTAGAAAATGACAGTGGTTATAGCTTTAAACTATTAAGCATAGAACACTTAGTTTCTTAGATAATTTCACGTATCATCACATAAGCTTAACGAGAAATTAGATGTAATATCATGGCATAGACAAGACTAATAGATTGTCAGTGCTGCAGTGGATACTAAATAACACACTGAGAAAGGTAAGCTATAAAAAGTAATTGGTCAAGATGTATTCAAGCTGTATTCAAGCAAATCTGCTAAAGTGGGAAAAAAAAACGTGCACAAGCATATCCTCAAAAGCCTAGTGAGCCCATTCCAAAGTATGGTTGAGACTTACGAGGTCTGAATTGGCATCAGTGAAATGAGATCCACCACATAAAAACACATCTAATAGCACATAGGCACCATCAGAAACACCACATGTGCCTAAAACGAATAAGGAATTAACTGTTGCTGGGTGGTTCAAACTCTTCTTTCAAACTGGAAGTACATTTTGCACCTCATTGGGAGATAAAGTCAGACATGGCAGGAAGAGTGGGGATGCATACAAACCAAAATGCTTGAAGGTCAGTTATTTGGGGTGCCATATGTCTTCCATTATGGAATTTAGGAATTCCTGCAATTAGGCTCTTCTCTAGGAAGGGGGAACAAAGTCCAAGATAGTGTGCACCCAAAAGCACATTTTTGCAACTCAGAAATTAGCTTAAAAAATTAACAGCTGCTGTCAGCGTACAGATAGGTGCAATAAGCTGCTTGAAGAATAAATAATTGCACTCTGCCTCAGATTACTGCTCAGGGATTGAAGAAATTGGGCGTTTGTTTACTGTGCAGGTGCATCTCGGTCAATTTAGTTGCTTCCTGGAGGGAGCATGTTAACACTTTCTTATGTAGAATTATGATGTCCACTAAAAAGAGGGCTGTCCATTAAAAAGAGGGCTTTTACTCAGAGTGAAGAATCCATGAGCGAAATTTATCAAGCAAAATTCCACTTTCGGTATGATTTTGATGAAGGAATAGTATCATAACATTTAAGCACAGTTAAGCATTGTTGATGCTTGATACGTCCGCAAGGTCCACGCTGCAAGGTCCACGCTGCAGATCTTAGATATTTAGACTTCCACTTCCCACTGCGTGGATTCTGTACAGACAGAATTTCCGCACGAAGGACATAAGAACATTTGTAACTACACAAACATATCCACACAGAAAACATGGCGAGCGAGAAGCAGCTCCTGCTGGCGAGGGTTCCCAAATGTAAGCATATAGTGAACTCCCATGATTTGGCCCACAAATATAACCATTATCTACAGTCTGTGGAAAAACTCCAGGAAAGAAATGAGGCTCTAGAAGGCATGAATGCTAAAGTTGTAAACGGCTGTTTTTTCTACTTCCTTGTGTAGTGATGTTGTCCGCTTGCTGTTTGTAATGAACTTTACATTAGTGTAAAGCAGTTACTCTCCTTGAGCTTTCCCTTTTCTCTGTCTCACACATTCCATGATTAATTGTGCTGTAATCGGGTATAGTGCTTTGGATAAAAGGATGTGCTCCAAAATTGATGAAAAAACACAGAGTAGAAAATGCCAAACAGAACTGTTATTCATATTATTCATGTTGCTCTGAGATCCAGACAGAAATGTAGCACAAACACATCCTCAGTCTGTGTAAATAAAAGCTTTTGTGGTCCTCTAAGCGAGAGGTTTCAGATTATATTTACATTGCGGGATTCCATTTAGTCTGGTTGTGTGTGTTTCTCTGCAAAAGTTAAAAAAAGGCACTTCAGCCATTAATGTATAGGTAAGCGTTTATGAAATATTTTACCTTATATGGTAGTTTATACATGAATCTCAAAGGTTCCTACATGCTGTGAGTAGTGGTGGCAAAAGAAATTGTAGTTCATTAACCTTATCATTTTGTTTACTAATGTTATTTAACAAACTTCTGACAAAGCTGTTATTTATGTAATTAACATACTCTTTTATTTATAAATAATTTATTTAAAAAAACAGATTGATTGAAAATAAGCAGACCTCTGAGAACATTCAGTTGTTTAAATGTATTAAGGGTTATTGGAGGAGATGAGGCTTTAGATTTTAGTTCAAAAGGGTAAAAATGAAACCTTTTCCTGCCATAGTGAGACACGCTGCAAGGAGTGGATGTAACTTGTAATATCACCAGATGTAATCAGAATCTGTAGAATATGGGGATGTATGAAAACTTTTGCATGGCACTCTATTATGCAAACCTGCACATGCAGAGAGAAACCATCTGAAAGATGAAAGACAAACATGTGAAGACTGACATCTGTGTTCTGTTTAATGCTCCAATAATACCCTAAAAACACCAATAATCGGCAGGCACACAAAACCACACGCACACAGGCACACATTGGAATGTTTTAAACAGTTTTACAAAGGCAATTCTTTAGGAATTCTGTTATACTGGGGCAATTTATCTTTATTTTTCCTAAACAAAGCTTAGGTGACTGTTCGAGCACCATGGTTAAAGACATTAAAGACAGCATTACACATGCACATGTCGGTCATATGTCAAGGTCTGGAATATCTTAAAATCTTGAAATCTAATCTTGAAATGCACTTATATATATATATATATATATATATATATATATATATATATATATATATATATATATATATTTATTTTTATATATACATTTCAGTTTATTTGTATAGCTCCAATTACCTACATGTCATATAATGAAACTTTACACAAATGGTAAAGGCTGTATGTTAATATGAACTTAGTATGACATGAGCGATTTTAAAGTCTGAAATGCTGCCATCACCATTCACTATACATCTCGGAAAGCGGCGGAAACGTCCTTCCAAAATAAAAGGTGGGTATCTCAATGCATGTCTATGTGTTTCACTCAAAAACAATAGTTAAATAAATTATGGGTATGGCAAGTCCATATATCATAAATTCAACTGTACCGCCTTTACATTCAAAATATCTCAAATTGTTTTATGACTAGACTTTTTAGCGATGTAAGATAGCTCTAATTATATTTTGACTAGATCAAATACCTATTCGATATATCTCTAATTATATTCTGACTAGTCGAAATAACATCCGATTCACCATTAACTTGTATGGAGACGTCAATTTAAGATATCTAGAATGAATTACTGACTATGGATGGTCAGACGAAACCAAATTTATGTTAAAACGGCTTGCCATATTATTGGGTTAATTTAGATTAGCTGCATTCACTGCACATGTTCCGTTTATAGGCTTTTACTTTTCTAACTACCGGAAATCACCTCCTTTTGACTGTGTGGCTTGACTGTGGTGCGTAATTAAACTCTCGGCCAGCATCTCTCCTGTCACAGTGCCTTTCAGACTTTACTGTGAGCAGAACCCGAACGTGGAGATTTTAACACAGAAACATGGATGTAAAGCTGCTGACCGTCGTGGCTGTCCTGATCATAGTGATATACTCACCTCCCTCTGAAGGTACTGACACATTTTCTTATTTGTGGCTAATGTTCAGCCTGAAATTTAATGTTAATTGAGTGATAATCTCCAACTTTGATGGTATATGTAAAATAAGTATATACGTGAATATTCTGGAAAAAGTCTTTTATAATATATTTTACACTTTGTTTTACCTTTATAAGTAGTGAAAGCGCAGTTTTGGACAAGCTTTCATTTGAATCAATGATGACATGGCCTCTGATAATACTTTATTATATATTCTAAGCGTAAACATTTAATTTAATTTAAACTTAATAAAGCTGATCCATTAAATAGTTTTAGATTTTTGTTATTTATTGATGTGGGTATAGTGGGGATTATTCTGAAGCGTGGATAAGTTGATTTTCTTCCGTGCGTAAAAGCGCTGACACGCTGCACATGTGGCTCTTGCTGCATGGAGAAGCCTAAACCCTCTTTTGATCACTGATCAACACCTTATCAACGCCTGCCCTCTTTGTTTTTCTTTAATTACACACAAGTGAGGCGTTACGGGCCCCAGTCCGCGCGGCGTCAGCGCGCAGCCCTTATGTTGGCTGATACCCCATTATTATCATGGTAATTCCCGTTAGATCAGGTGTAAAAAAATAATTTGCATAAGATTTAATCTGGTGCAACACATCAAGCCATCTGCTATCCTACAGCGTGACAAAAGGCTATTTTTATGGATCATCTTTTGCATTATCCTACAGGATAAACGGTAATTGAAGCTATTACCCTAATTGTTTCTTCGGAAATACTCAAGAACAAAGTATAATTTTCGAAAATAGTTTCCTTTGAATTTCGCAGTAGAACTGAAGGACGTTTTGAGAGAACATGCATTTATTTGTCCATATAGATCAAGCATGAACGTCTGTACATAAACAGGAAACCTAACGCTGTAGCGGAATGCCCTTTTATCACAGAGGACCACACAGTACCAAATTACGCAAAGACTGATTCTTCCTTTTTTGTGGAATCAAAACACGAATAAGAGGCGGATGAGATGGGATATTTCCAGAGGCGGTCATCAAGGAGGTTTCATGACCCCGCAGGAGTAATGAGCCGTAAATGCGGGCTGCAGATCTAAACATAACAATGCATTTCTTTGTTGATGTTCAGCTGATTAAGGTGCAGGACTTATGATTCAGCTTGTCAGTCCATCAATTCTGGAATTTTTGTGATTTTATTTACTTTGTTCCTGGATACATTTCAAGTTATTTATTGCTTATAAATGTTTAATCCTGCTCCTTTTCAACAGGCTGTTTATAATGTAAGATCCCTGATGCAATCATCAGTTTAATCTTTTATCACTGTGAAGATCCTTCCCTGCAAATTCTGTCTTGTGTGACTTATCTGCCCTTTGGTTCCTCAGCAAAGCCCATCAGCCTGGTGGAGCGATGCTACTGCCGTGCAACTGTTAACAGCCTCCCAAAAGGTTATATCCGAGAGCTCAGATTCATCCACACACCTCACTGCCCTTTCCAAGTGATGTAAGTGTTTTTTGGTTTCCTGTTTTCTTAATTAATGTTCAGTTCAAAAGCAAATTTTTGTCTTAGTCCACACTGAAAACTTTTTTGCTTGTCTTTGGGTATTTCTCACCATCAATCTCAGATAAGTGACAGGCCAGAGAAAGGAGTTAGGCATGCATATGTACACACCCGCCCCTTGTCAGTCGCTCACACATACACTCAGAAAGTGAGACGTTTGTACAACTGGCTCACTGAGGCATCCACAGGAAGTGATCCTTTAGGGCGAGTTGAAGGTGAAAAAGAGAAGGGAAATAGATTCATGTAAGCTTTTTGCAGGAAAACATCAATACAAACTGTTGCTTATTTCTACAATTCATGCAATACACATTTAATACCGACTGTACACCTCTATGGACGTAACAGCTTTAAAAGTAACAGCTTTGTAGAACATGTTATGCTTGGAAAATAAAATACCTGTGTTGTCACCAGAGGTGGTGTTAGCAGCGACTGTCAAAATTTCTATTAAAAAATAGATTTGGAGTTTATTTTTCCAAAAATTTGTTAGCATCTTAATTAGCATTTAGCATAGTTTCCACTGGTGTGTTCTAAAATACAGATCCTTATCTAACACCTGAGATCTTCAAAAAATCCTGATCCACCATGATTTCACGCTGAAACATGCTGGATTCTCATTCTCAGTTCAGCCTTCCTATTACCTCCCCAAAGCCTTGCACTCTCATCCTCTTTCTCACCCTAAACGACCTGCAGACATGTCATGACATGTAGAAAGTACATCTCAGTGCTTCATCTTTACTTAATTGTAAACACATTACTGATACCAAACATAGCTTCTTCTTCTTTTTCCGTGAGCAAAGAAATTTATAAGAAGAGTGAAGAGATGTTGTGGTTCATCAATATAAATAAGGGGTCTTATAATGCCACAATAAGAGGAGAGAACAATTTTTACGCAGACATTGAGCTTAAAAAGTTATTTATCTGCAAAAGAGATATTTTTGATTTATTTTGATTAATCAATTATTGAAATTATCATCTGTTTATGTAGTAATTCATCAATTGTCAAGTGGAATATATAGATGCTAAAAGGCGCCACTGGCAGTAATTAGACCAGAATTATACAAAGTATTAATAAATATTTAATTTTGAAATGATAAGTTTTTTTCTACTTAACATGTTCCATCTAGAACTTCTCAAGTGGTAAAGATTTAACTTTAACTTAATCTGTAAAAAAATCTCTAAAACCAATTGATAAATTGATTGCAAATTGATAACAAGTTGCATTGTTTGATATGCCAATCTGAATCTCTGTCAATCGTTATAATAAGGCATGAGGTTATAAATCTAATTAATTTTATCTGCTGGAGCAGACATCAGTTTTTTATCAGCAATACTATCTCAAGTCACTGGGATTTCAGTAAAAGCCTTTTTTGCCTGTGACTAACTAACACAACAGTGTAAAAGAACCCTGCTAAGTGTCAAATTACCCACCGCTGATCTTAATTTGATTTGATAAATCATGTCAACTTACTTACAACTTTTTCCCCCTTTTCTAATCAGTGCCAAGTTGAAGTCAGGCAAGGAGGTGTGTTTGAACCCAGAAATGCCATGGCTGCAGCATTACCTGAAGAATGCCATCAGAAAGTGAGTACCAGCAACACAATACACATTTCCGTCTGCAGTTGTTGGGTTTTAACTTGTAAGTCATTTAATGCAACTCTTTAACTCAGGAGATTTAAGCAGAGTGTCCAAATGCGCATTTGGACAACCCATTGACAGACTTTTGTGAGAGAAAGTGGTTGCATAAACTTAAAACATGCAGCTACATGAGCAAGTGGGAGTAGATACTAATTCCACTTTAGAATAAATGCAGTGGTTTAATGGAGGGACAAGACACCCACTTTCATACTGCATTCAATTAAAGGGGGTCAGGGGTGGTGGGCATCCAAAAGAAGTTTTACGGTGGTAAAGTACAAAAAAAAAAAATGGAAAACACTCATGCATAAATCCAACTGCTGCTGAGTGCAATATAAAACCGACTGATGCACACACAGTCCAGCAGTCGGGCTGTCTCAGAGGGTGATGGCTTACTCCTTGTGTTGGCAAGGTGTGAACTGCTCACAGTTTAACAGAGGGCTGGCTTCAAGTGTAGATTATACCCTGTTTACAATAGATCAGGACCTAATGTGTTTCCAATTACACATGCAGCCAAAGGGGAGTTGAAAAGGATAAACCTTTTTGCAGTGGGTAAAATGCACAACCTGAATCTCATACATTGTCCTCCTCTTTAATCTGTTAAAATAAACATTGGTTATTTTATGAAAAAGAAAAAGGATTATCACAACAACAAAAAGGGCCTACCCAAGTTAAAAAAAATTAATATCTTTATATACTGTTTCTTTTAATTATAGAAGGCTTAATAACTTAATATTCTATTCCAGTATAGACATGAAAGTGTTCAGGTTAATAAGAGAATCATGTGATTGCCAGATGTTTCATTCTTTATTTCAACAATCTATATATTACAAAAATGCACTTTAAAATGTACCTTTTTTATCTAAAAAGGCTGATTCTGAACACAGCTGATAAGTAATTTTTTTTATAAGTATTTAATGCATAGAAATCAACTTAATTTTCCCCCCAAAACAATTAAATCAACTTTTAACATACAAAGTCTAAATGGTAAATCAAGGTTTTCTTCTGTGGTCACTTTTATTCAATATCTATATAATTTCCCTTGGTGAAATAATTGAGAACTTTGATATCGCTTGCTATATAATGCCATGATGCAAAAGTCTATTCCTGCTTCTATTATTAAACTAAATTAATTTTCCTTATGGTCTCCTCTGCTCTTTACATAATGGTGCTGAGTTCCAAATCAGTGCACAGACACAGAGGACAATGGACATTGCCTGGTTACTGTATTCTGCTTTTCCAGGACTTTAAAATGTCAACATTTCAAAATTATATGCTTTCTTATTAAAATCATACATAAGGTCTAAAGTTGTTTAAAGCATGAAAATTTCCTTTGACTGTAGTAGGTAATATAGTTGGAGATAAATTTGAAGTTTTTACATTTAATAACATTTAAATGGGGCGGACAGGGGTTAGGCCCGTTCGTCTGGTTCAATTTGGATGTTTCTAAGCCAAAACAAGGTTTTTGGTCCATTCCATAAAGCCTCTAACTCAATGCTATTTCTGACATTTTGAATTGGAAAAAGCTTCCTGGATGGGAAGCGAAACGTCTTCAAACTTGGAAACAAAGTCCAGTGGATTGTTTTTTTTTTTTTTTACTTTTTTGGAATGACTATGACCTGGATGACTGAGAATCCTCACCTGCATTTATTTACAATAAAGATCTCAAAACCCAATTTCCATAAAATAAATCTTCCGGCAAACATAATATTTGTGATTTGAAAATTACTTTCAACCTATCCCTACCATCAATATTTTAGTTAGATTAAAATCATACAAATACAATGGTAGTAAATATCATAGATTATAATTTTTATATATGATGCAATTTGCTTATTACCCTTGTACTCTCGCTGTTGTTGTATAAAGAGGATCTACAAGGAACAACAATGTTATTCAAAATATGCTGACATTTTAAATATTTCGCCATTTTTGGCATTTTACTTTGAATTTTCCCAGTGGTCAGTATTTTTCTTAAATCTCTTGCTGTGACTGAAAAGTGTATTAAAAAAAAAACATTGTTCTTTTCTGCAAAATGTGCATAATTAAGAACATAATTCATATATTTTTATTGACCAAAGATATTGTAACTTAAAAAAAACATTTCTGTTTCAAGTAAAGCAGTGTGATGGTGAACGTTTTGCCATTTGATTTAAATAAAAAGCATTTTGATCATTTTTTGAAGTTCTGTTTTATTTGCTTTGTAAAAATACCTTGAAACTGTGGTTCAGATTTAATTTTGATAATTATTCTAATGTTCATTAGAATCTTAAGACAGTAGAGATATGTTCCTGTGAGATAAAAGCAATCCCACCCACCATGATTCCTTTAAGTATTACCGTAGTATTAACTTCCACCATAATGCTGTAAACCTCGTAGAAGCCCTACCATAAAACCACATCCCATTATGGTCACTGAGTCAGTGTATCCATTATATCGATGAGTAAATGGTTAAGAATTTCCGACAACGAAGAGAAGAAGATAGTCATTGTTTTTTGGGGTTTTTTGTTTTTTCTTTTAACTTGCCTGAATAATGCTAAAAGCCACAAAAGATGCATAGTTAATTAATTAGTCATGATGTTTTTATTTCAGCAACACTGCCTGAATGAATATTTTAGAGAAAAATATTTATCTTCTGGAACCCAGTCAATTTTGCAGTGTTTAAGTAACAATTTAAGAGTTAAGTTTAATGGAAACTCGAGTGCATTTGGTCCCATTCTGAATTATTTTAAATAAATTCTCTACATAGTGTATATCTTAGTCCAGTTGTTGTTGTAATAACTCTAAAAGAGTCAATGTACTTTGACACTGCATATTTAACACTGTTGAATTTAGCCTTTAAAAAAAACTATACTTACTCTCTGTTTGTAAAAACAATTTTTTTCATAGACCTAAGTGTTACCTGATAGGTAAAAACTAGGTATGAACTATGAAGAGCCCACAGGACATTAGTTTCTGGGTTCCACTGATATTAAATTCCCTTTGCACCTGATATGTAGGAAGAAAAACCCAAACCGCTTTCCAACAGTAGTCAAATATGATGTTTTTATTTGCTCTTCCTATTGTTGTAGTTATTTATGCTTCAAGAGGGTGTTTAAAGGTTCTTTTTAAAAATTGTTATTATTTTTTTAGTATTACCCTGTAAAGAATTTTCACCTTGTGTATAAATTATCCTATACAAATAAATGTGCCTTTTCTTGTGATCCAGAAACCATCTTCATATTTATTTTGTTACTCTGTTCCAGGATGAAGAAATCCATGCAGGCCAATTAAAATGCATGAGGTTTTCCTGAACCACTCCAGAAGATTTTCGCCGGCATCATCTTTATATACATACAAAGCAAGATCTTCTGATATTCAGCACTTATCTTAGCTGCTCTGCTGCAGTCCTTTTGCATGGATTGGACCTCTTCATCATGAACACCATTTCATGGAAACATCTTCACCATCACCACTTATAACAAATGTTTCTAGTGAGAAGTATCAGTATATCTGAGAGTACGTTTTGCTAAATATATGTATATGCCTTTTGATTAGCCAGGAAATGTTTCTTATTTTGAAAATGCATATCCTGATTGCTAGTGACCAATGGGTGGTTCCTTCTCCAAAAGTTAATTGACACCAAGGAATTTCGGTCAGTGCCAGCTAACCCCCAGACTGAACATAAGATGTAAATAAAAACCTAATAAAAATGTCGCTTCCAATGTTTGTAATGGAACTTTGGATGCCAGTAAAGATGGAGCATTTCCTGTGCTGTTGCTGTGATTGTGTGATAAACCAACTTGTGTTATTTCCTTAACTTGTTGCAGTTAAAAAAAAAGAAAAAACATCTGGTTCCCAAAAAGTTTTAATTGAGGAGCCAATACGTTAAGATTTACTGGAACCATTAAATTGAATCAGTTAACAAGAAGCGGGGGGAACAAATTGTAACGCTCCTCATTCACATCTGGCAGCCTTTGTATCCTTTTGTTTTGTGTTAAAGAAAGATTCACAACAATTTGACAGTTGTTTTTCCTCTAGCAGTTATCAAACGGAGAACCACTGGGGGCTGCAGAGAAAATAACACTAAAATGTACATGAACATGACTGCCTACAGCCGCCATGCTTATAGCGATGCACTTTAAATGTGATGTATTCATATTTTGACAGCAAATCTCTGTAACTCTGCCTATTTACTTTCATCTTTGTTTTCTGTGTTTTGGTATTTTTGATCACTGAATGTTTAGCTGCAGCAATCTGTTAAAAATTGGGAGATTAATCCATATATTCATTTTTACTCTCCTGCTCGTATGTAATAGTAATTATATTCAAATGTTTTATTTTTGTACTCTTACACATTTATATATTGCATTTAAACATTTAAAATGAAGGAACTATACTCACACAACTGAGCCATGCAGCTTTTTTTATATTGTGAAACTTGTATTCATCTGTTGAGTAAATAAATAGAAAAAAATCAATGTTTTAATGTGGTTTCCTGTACATTCTACATCATTACACCTGAACAAAAAACTCCTACTCTATGTTACTCTTTACATTTAGTGCATGCAGCTGCTGAAATTCTATAGTATCTATAGGTCAGAGGATAAGTGGAAGCCTTTCATGTTGGAACTTGTGTTTGGCTCTCCTCGCACAGGAAAATTAAAAGCATTGACAATGATCCTGACTCTGATTTAACAATTAACTCAACAAGCAGCTATTAGGAAATATTACAGCTAAATGAGATGAACTTTTAACTCCCCGTCCCTAAGGGCATTTTGTGAACAGAACACAGCAGCAATATAAGGGGGAATAGCTGACAAAAGCATAACGGATAACTGCAAGTGGTGGTCATTCTTTATGACCAGTTTGAACAACATTTAGTGGAATGGTAGCAATGTTTTGAAATGCAAAAGAGGCAAATTTAGCTCTAATCATTTGACAAAAATGTTTTCCTCTAACTGAATGCACAGTTTCAGCAGCATATCTTGCGATTCTATTGACCATTTTCTGAACAATCAATGCCTCAGGTATAATTTCTCCAGCTGACTTCTGTGGGGGTGAGGATATGTCATTTTCTGATCACTTAGCATAATCTTTGCAATATAAATTATAATGCGCTAATTTAAGAAAGATCTAGGATGGCTCCAGCTTTGGCAGTAAAACATGGAGAGCCAGGCATAATTACATCAAAATGCATGTTTTTGGCAGAAAAAAGACCCCTGAGACAATACTGATGCTTTTTGGTGACTCACATCAGCCCAATGTTTACAGAAAGAAAATAAACCTTGAAAAAGTATTATTTTCAAAGTAAGAACTCTATAAGTACTGTAAACAACGAGGATATTTGCTTTTATTTCAGAGCTGCTTTGCTTTGTCTACATAAGAAATCTTGAATCAATGCAGAGGACAAGAAAATCAGAAGATTAGTAAGGCAGCTGGCCCAATATTAGAAAGTTCTCTCAGTTGCATTTAACAAACTTCTAACAAAAAAATGACATAAAAAAGACATAAAAAAAGAACTGATTTATTCATAAAGCACCTTCTATGCAGCTGGATCTTCATCCTACTTAAAATTCACGTATCTGAAAACCCAGATTTGGAGATGCTCTGTAGGAGTAATCTAAGTACCAGTTTGGAAATTACATTTCATTGTTTACCAAGAAATGAAATGAAATCTACTTATATTTTGTTACTTGGAAAAGCATATTTAAGCACTTCCACAAACCATTTCAAGGGAACGATTTTTCCAAACCAAAACTAGAATAACTTTTTCTGTATTCTTGTCAAAAACTGCCAAAGTATCCTTTTTTTTTTTTTTTTACCATGGCAGAGATAAACAACATTGAATATGCAAAGTATAGAATCATGCACCAGTAGCAAGAATGCCCCCACTTTCAACTAGTACATAACTACCCATGCAAGAAGAACCTGTGTTTGAATTATTAGAGATGCCAGAAGATTTTTTGGGGGGGTAATGATAATATTTAACTATATTATAGGATCCTGAATCTACAGCGTATTCAGGTCAGAGAACCGTTTTGTCATTTTACAGAGTTCAGATTGCTCGCTGGCAGCTATTACAGGAAAAGGTACAGCCACAAATTGGAGAAAACATTTTTTTTCCCTGCATATAAATCCCTTATATGTGAAATCAGCTAAATCACTCATCAAAAACAAAGTCTGGTTTGTGGTAAATGCCCACTAAACAAAGAGAGAAGCAATTAAACCTTCATCCGTTACAGTTTTTTTCCAAGAACCTTTGTTTTTCTGTTGATTGTGGAAGGACACCAAAATTTTTCCTGCACCTGTATTTGTTCACTTGAACTACTTCAAATAATTTCCCTTAAAGACTTGCAAAGCTAAATGTCATTTCGCTTTTATCATCCACATCTTCATTTATCCTACCTCAAGTATAATACTGACGGATGAGTGTGGGCCGCACAGGAACACACAGAAAATATAATAGAAAGAAGTTGTTTGTAATAGTTCCTAGGATCAGTGCCTCCACCCACCAGTTAAACTATGCAGGTGCGCTTACTGACGTCTTGAAGCCTTGTTAATTTAAGTGGGGGTGTTAGAAATCTAACTTTAATTTTAATGGGAACACAATAATTTTTTCACACTCAAAACGCTAAAGGTGGAATTTTAACTCAGGACTGCTACAGTTACAGAAACAATCAATATCAGGCAAACAATATCAGGTTTGCTCATAAAGGTCAATAGGTCATAAAAAACTTTGTCTGTGGATGGAGTGACAACAATTAATAAATATTGTCTATTAGCAAAAGAACAGATATAACATACCCTTGCATATACTGCTAAACTCTGCTCAAGAGCATTTACTTCCTTCTTATTGTACTTCCAGTCAAATACTAAACTACATTTTATTGCTCTGCAGAGACATTAAATTTGAGTTTTGTCTAAACTAAAAAACACAACAAAAGGATTTCTAAAACATTAAGCTTTTAAAACTATTTTATTCTAATAGAATCTGCTGTATTAGAACCAAAACAGAGTGTTCTAAAGTATAGAGATGTTTTTGATTGAAAAAGTTATGGAAAGTTGAAGAAAAAATAAATGCATCCTTACATCAAGTTTGCTGAAGTGGAACAGAGCGGCGTGATTATATAAATGTTCTGCAGATATCATCATGGGGTCTTGTTTGTACTTGAGGCTAACTGGGCAACGATCCTAAATAAACAGAGCGTAGATCTATAAACCCACAGTACTTCTCAAAATCACAGCTAATAGCAAGAGACAAGTACTTACCGAACATTTAATCAGCTGTGGCTTGATGAAGTGTTGTAGATAATAAATTGTCCAACAAAGGGTAAAAGTTTAAATTCCAGCCAGAGGCTACAGAGTAAATAAGACATTGCTGTATTTGACATATCACTACTAACACATATATGAATGTACAAGAGGGTTACTTCCTAGATTTTAATAATTAAGAAACCTTCACAATGGATTTAGGTCACTGTGTTAAAAGGCTGTAAAAAGATGGATGGCCTGTGCAGGATCTTAGAGAAATCCCAAAGGCTGATTTAAGAACACTGTCTTGAATGGTATGATGGAGTTCCCTGACTGATTTAAGCATGCACAAAACTTTGGTGTGATGCAAAAGTGACAGGTTCTCTGTGTATTTTAACTGTTGTCATCCACTTTAATTGTTCAGACTGTATATATGGGGAATGACTATGTTGGCTGTTTGTCAGTGCTGAAACCTAATCACACCAACGCCGCAATGGATGCATAATTAACGGAACGCTTAGATATACCCATGAGGTCCTAACAATCTCCAACAAGGATTTCATCAAGCTGCTGATATAAACAATCCTTACTCTCCACATGTTTTTTGTGTCTATACTTGCTTAATCTTCAAAGGTTTTGCTGTGCCTGGTACATTTCTGAGCCATTGGTAAGAAGTTGGATATAGTTGGTTGACCAGTCTCTTACAGAGCATAGAGAGACAGTGAATCGTGCATTCACACACTGGTTAATAAGGACAATTTAGAGATACCTACCATTTGTGTTTTTATATTTTATATTGAATTCGTTGGAATGACATCCCTGATTTTTTTAATGCTGCTAATCAGCAAAGTAATGCTGTCTTCAGCACTAAGACTCTGCTTTTTGGTATAGGTCTTGAAGGCTCTCATATACATGGAAATTCTATAGATTTTGGGCAAACATTAAATTGCAGATGAGATAATCAAAGGATTGTATTTGGAGGGTAAAGTAAAGAGCAAGGAATATTGCATAGAAAATGGCAAAACAAATTTTTAAAAAGATAGCACACTGTTGAGAAAAATCTCTGCGCCATTCAAAATAATAAGTTTGACCCTGCATATGTTTTATTAAATACTTTAATAAAGAATATTTGAGAATTTTTTAAAAGACCTGCCATCTTCTCTTTAAAAAATGCTCATGCACAACCCGTACGCGCTCCCCAGAGGGAACACCTATAAACGCGTGTGATCGCATGCATGAGCCCATTTCTCCTCGTGCACGCTCTGTTTAAAAGTTGCTGTTTGCATCTCATTCAAGCTTACTTTCCAAAAGAAGATTTGCAATTTTTCCACTATGTCAGACTCCCCACCAGGAAGTGAAAATGGAGGCGAGCACATAGGACGGCCTTAGATAAACATATCACCAGAATGATAATTAGGAGGACCACTTATTGATGATGATCCACCCAGAAAAAGAACATCCTCAACTATACCTTTAAGTGTTTGGGTTTTGATAATCTTTGGTTTTACTATTTTCTTCTTCTCCCCTTGTTATTATGTTCTGAACTGTCTTACTGTATTATGTTGTTTCTTTTGTTTTACTGTTTAA